TAGAATAATAGAGTTGGAAAGGACCATGGAGGTGTTCTAGTCCAACCCCCTGCTTAGGCAGGAAACTCTATACTACTTCAGACAAAAGGTTATCCAAGTCAAAAGGAACCAAGATAAATGAAGAGAAGAGTAACATGTGGAAATTGTAGGAGCTACACATCCAAGCCATGTTTAAACCCTCACACTGTTGCAGCCACAAGAATAGTGCCTCTGTAGTAGCAGGAAGATCTCAAGTGGAATACAGCTGGGACAGAAGCTACTCAATCAAACAGCTGGCAAGGGTTTCTTCCCTTGCACTCAGCAATGAAAACTCCAAGAAAAGGAAAATCACAATGTTGCACTTGTTTTTGTTAACAGTAAGAGAAATGGAGGTAAAAATGATTTATGCAACTTAAATTAATTTTGAATTTGTAAATAAACAGAGAAATGACTGACATATAAAATGAAAAAAAAAGAAAAACAGAAAAATACACAAAAGTAAAAGATGAAAATAACATAATAACTGATAAATGTATTTCATCAATATTACCATATAAAACTGTGTGACCCTAGGCCAGTTGCTCTCTCTCAACCCAACTCACCTTACAGGTTGTAGTTGAGAAAATGAGAAGAGGGTGATATGTTGGATGTTTATCATTCAGTTATTTGTAGAAAAGGAAGGAAGGAAGAAAGGGAAGGAAGGAGGGAGGAAGAAAAAATTCTATTTAAAGAAGAAAAATTTATCAAAGACAGAAAAACAGGGGGGAAAGAAATGCAACTTTAACAATAAGGGAGGAGTTATAAAAAAAAGTCAAAATAAGGAAAGTGCCTGGACCAGATGGTTTACTAGTCTCTTATTATAAACATTTCGAAGATAAACTACTATAATTGTTGCAACACATGATGAACTCTATTTTACAGATTGGGAAGCTACTGATCCTTGGATAGAGCTAATATAGAATTGATACCAAAAGAAAATCACAACTCAAAAGAACTTATTTGTGAATTTTCTTCTTCAAATGAAATAAATTGAATAAACAAGAGGCAATTTCTGTCACAACTTTTTAAGTGTCATAAAATAGATTGGATTTCCACCTTCAAGGCCGGAAAGAATACATCTCAAAGAAATTGACTGAGTCTGTGTGTTTAGAATAATGCATTTATTTTAATAATGCTTCAGGTTGCCCATACATGTGATGTGTGTAGATGGTATTTGAAAGCAGGAGTTACATTGAAAACATTTTTACATTTAAACAAACTATTCTGTTTGTTTAACCCTAGTTCTTTTTACAATGTTATATACATATCAGATCATTGGAAATACACATATTCTATATCACACTATCTTAGATTACATGTACTCCTTGACTTACAACTGTTTATTTAGTGACTGTTCAAAGTTACAGTAACACTGAAAAAAGTAATGGTCCATGGTCCATGATCAAATTTGTGGGCTTGGCAATTGACTCATATTTATGACAGTTGCAGTGTCCCAGGGTCATATGGGTTACTTTTTTTAATGTTATACCCAAAAGCCAAATATTTTTATGCTTGTACTATAACCAACCTAAAATGTAACTACTATCGACATCTTTACTTTCTATATATTTAGTACTTTAATCTTTCTAAATAGTACAATGTCAATAATTTCTATTCAGGTTACATAAACATAATTTTAGTGAAACAATTAAAAGTATCAAGGTTTATAAACTATAATAGAAGAAAAGAGAGGCATATATAGAGAGACTAACAACTATTAAAGCATAACATTTTATCCTGCACAAAAGATATGCAGTTTTCGAAGGTTGTGTCCATTGGATGTGGAATTTCCCAAGCTTTTATTTGAAACTACATCCTCCATTTTATTGAACTTCTTTATTTTGAAATAAAATCCATTAAATGTAAATGTATCTTGTCTGTTTTCCATAGTACATTTCAAAGTATAAGGAAGTAGTAAAATTATCAGTAGTTTTGTCTACTTAGCTAAATCATAGATGCACAACTTCTGCCGGGGATTATAAAGTATAACTTATTTTTTCATCTGAGTCTTTTAGGAACTATAGCTAATCAGACATGATGACCCCACAATTATATGTTTTCCTGACTTTTTTCGATCACATTTTGAAGAGTTACAAACTTTAAAAAATAGCTAGAATCTTGCAATAAGGTTCTGTTTTATTCTTTAGTCATCATCAAATGCAAAATGCCCTGCAAATACATCAGTAAAAGCACAAAAACTGTCTAACCTTTGTCCTGTCTATTCTGGAAATATTCTACAAACTAAAAAAGAGGAGTTGGTAAGTCATATTCAGCCCATAATTAACTTGCTTACTTCTAGTTAGATTAACTATGATGTAGTAAAATCAACTTTATGTACTTTTACAAAAATTAATAAGTACCTGTAAAAACCAACCATGCTGAGTAGTCTGGGAATAAGCATTTCAGTTTATTTTCATATAACCTTCTATAAAAGTAAAGGTTATTAATTTCTATGTTGCAAAACAATCAACAAATTGGGAATACATTCAGAAAAGATAAGTATGAGATTAGCTAAAGGTAGATTTGTGAATGCAAAGAAGAAGTGGAGATTAATAGAACAAGGAGAATAGGTAGATCAACAGAGTTAAATATAATACCTTAATATTGTCATTCCAATTTTAAACCAATCCTATATTATGTACTACAAATAAAATTCTGTTAAATAAATAAAGCTTTTATTCCTTCATATCAGATAATATTTAAAACATTTATATAACCACCCATATTATACCAAACCTTGTGTGGATCCCTCTCAAGAATTAAAACAACATAAAAACCATATTAATACTATTACTATTAGGATTCTTGCTACTTCAGAAGGAGCAGGTATATTAACAGTACTTATTAAAAATTGATTAACCATCATACTTTAACCCTTCTCCAACCAGTAAACCAGTTGCTGAACATAAAGGCAAGAAATGTGACAAAGCAAAGCAAGATTATATGGAACCTACTGATAAGAATAAAGGTGCTAAGACAAGGAAACAAGAATAAGAGATAGTCATGAATTGCATAAAGTGATGGATGAGTTGAAGTCATATACTGGAAAATGACATAGAACAAACATTCAAAGGCAGAAACGAAATTGGAATGATTATGAAAAGCACAGTAGGATAATGAATGTTGACATACACAAAGGTAAATGAGAAAGAAGGAAAAGAAACCAGCATTTTAAAGGATTGAAACTAAATAGTATCATGCATAATAAAACTAAGTTCACTATCCTCTATCTGTCAAGAGAGAAAGAATATAGATGTAATACTATATATAAACAGAAAAAGCTATAAGAAACACTGTGATAGTTCTGCAATTCCTGATAAATACCTTTTTCCAATTAAGAAAAGACAAAAAGTACACTAATTTGCATCTTTAGCAAATAAGATAAAACATAGTTTGGAATCTATTAGAAAATATATGGCCAACTATAAACAAATCTGCAAAGGTTACTAATTATTTAATAATACATAGCGAAAATGGATTCCTCATATTAACCCTCTTGGGCCCATGGATTTACTTAGTTGTGCTAAAGAGTTCTAACAAGAAACTAAAATTAGATACTGCAACTTAATGTCCATCTATCTTTGATTTTGGAAATAAGTTCTTAATTGTTCAAAAGGAATGAACTGTGCTATTTTGACTATGATGTGTAATAGTTCAGATATCCAAAACAAACACAAGGAATTATGCATCTTCTGTTATTTGATATATCTGAATTTTCCTGTGGCTTCCCAGGACACTTTTTCCTATTCTCATTTCAGTTTAACACTGCTTTGACCTTGGGGAAATAAATCTATTTCTAATGCCATTATGATACTTTATAATACTTGTCATCATTGGTGTTAGGTTAACAAAATGTATATTAATGGAGACAAAGCTTTAAAACATTCATAATTACATATGAATCAGAAAGCACAAACAAAATATATAGATAATAAGTCCTACTAAAAATAATATAATATAACTGCTGTTATGTATCGATATGTGCATGTTGTCTGTGTCAGTATATATAAGATATATATTCCTAAATCCACATATTCTGGTAATGTGTGTTTGACAAAAAGTATTAGAAAATCTTTTACTTACAGGAATGCAATTCAATTCAATCTTTTTTTGTTTTTAAGGTGCAGTGATTTCAGCATCTAAAATGTAACTTCAGGCACTCTGAAAAGAAACAGGTTAAAATCTCTTTCAGTAATAATTGCTATTTCAGATTTAATTAAAAATTAAACTTTCATAATGTTTCACCATCCAAAGCAATGCATTATCAGTCAAGCATAGCTCTTTTTTTTAGTTAGAAAAGCTCTTTCAGAGCAGTTTGTAATGAAGAAAGGAAATAAAGAAGACACTTCAGAGTAGAAAAATATAGCTCTGAAATAAAGGTTCACAAATAGCATTCTGAAAGGGGGGGAGTGAGGGGAACATTTCCCGAATCTTTATATCAACATCTAACTTATTAAAATAATAGGCATTATATTTTTTTAAAAAAGATGAATTTACATACGCATGATTGTGGGAGGAATGAGCAATAAAACACACATGCACACAAACGCACACACAATTTTTAGGACAAAATTATAATGAAAAAGGAACTGCACTTTTATACAGTTGTATGCACTAAATGGGAACTCTTCACAGTTTATAGATGTATTTCTGTCTTCAGGGCTCCTAAGGCAGATTACATTCACATTTTTAAAGTTATAGTATATTTAACTGGAAATACTTTGAAAAACAAAATGTAATGCACAGTTTTATCCTAAACAGCTGTTTAAAAATCTCTTCTCTCAGACAAAATTATGTAAAATCTATGTAAGAAAGCAAAACAATAAGCAATAACTACTTACAGTTGGGGATGGGGGGGCAGTTAGATGTTCTGTTTATATAATTGCAGGATTAAAATATTGTGGATTTAAAAAATGAAATAGACAATACATTGGTGAAATAGGGATGTCAAAGTTTCAGGGTTGTCATGCCATTCTGGGTATAGTGCTGCATAGTTTTACAGATACACTGATACATTTAAAGCAGCAAAGCAAGAATAAAAAGCAAAAATAAAACTATGTCGTCAAAAACAATAGCCTGTCCTACTTTCTTTTTACTATAGGCATAAACAAAATGTGATGCCAGTTATTTACAAATATTAAAACACAAATTTCCCCTTCAAAATTTCCTCTTGTATAAGATATATGCAATCAGTTCATATAACCAAAGAGTTTTTGAGATATGTAGAAACAGCAGACAATGAAGTCTCATAAAACCATTTGTTTCGGTTTTTAAAAAAGGATTTTGGTAGGACACTACGTTATACATCCATTTAATAANCAAAAAGCTTCCTCTTACAAGATTTCTGAAGGATTGGAATCAGAACCAACTTCAGCATTCTTGTCTTACAATACAGTAGATATTCACAATTATGTTCTAAGGCCAATTTTTACAATTTAATTAAAACTTAACTACGATATCATTATGTTAACTGGAAGAAAAGTTTATTATTTTAATCATGTTTGCTTTTTAATCAACTATGAAACTACTTTTCCCTCTGTACCTCATTGTACATACTTTTTTCTCTTCATATAGCTCCCCGTGTCTCTTTGGATTTCAATTTGAGATAATTCTTTGATCTCTTTTAACTTTTAGTAGTGTAGCTCATCTGGATTTTTTCCCCTTTCTCTTACTGAATAACCAACAGTGTACACTTCATTTCTCAGTTACTCACTTTTTTCCATTTCATTTCATCCTTGCCTAGCTGAGCCTTTATTTTTGACTTATAGCTCCTTTTGTCCTACCCTGTTTTTTGACTCCCTCTTCCAGAAACATTTACAACACATATTGTTATTTTCTAAGTAATTTATAAATTGAAGAAATTACAGACAATAGGTAATAGATTTTTTATCTGTTTTAGCTAAAAAAAAATGGAAACAACTTCTTGCAATTTATGTAAGTAAGTTATAGTAGAGTACATATTGTTGCACTTTAGATTAACAAGTACAACATACTGATGGTATTAATACCATCATAACATAAAGCTGACTAAAATTACTTTTAGAAAGGATAGAAAGTGTAGGAGAGTTCAGGCTAAGCCCAAGGGAAGTGTTCAAAGCTCTGCATAGCACCTGAAAAGACTTCTGATGGCCTAGGATGGCAGAAGGCATAAAGGAATACATGGTCTCTTGCTACACATGTAGGAGGGCCAAACTCTGCCATCAAAAGCCTGCAGCCACAACCAACACCCCACAACAGAAACACCCATGGCATACTTTCTCTCTGAATTTCATTACTGATTTACCTCTGTTCTAGGCTTCATTACCATTAATCAAGATGGTTTATTTCCTCCCAGGAATTGCCCAATGCCATAGACACTGCCCAACTTGTTCTAGACCACATCTTTTATTACTATGGCNTCCTCTTGTATAAGATATATGCAATCAGTTCATATAACCAAAGAGTTTTTGGGATATGTAGAAACAGCAGACAATGAAGTCTCATAAAACCATTTATTTCGGTTTTTAAAAAAGGATTTTGGTAGGACACTACGTTATACATCCATTTAATAATTAAAATTTGCTTTTCTCTATACATAAAGATAGCTCCCGTGAAACAATATATCTAGCATCACATGAATCTTATATAGCACTGAATTTTAACTTTGAAACCGTGCATTCAGTCATGTGCATGTAGATTTAGTTCTGAAAATCCACTCTCACCTACAATATTGTGTAAAGATAACTGGTAACAAATAATTTATAATCACCACTGCAAAATTTTCTCTTCATATTTTGCATTATTTGACCCAGCTTAGATAAATTAGAGTATTCAAAAATATATTATTTTTTGTATTTTGCCAAAGATAAAATAGAAGCCACAAATTTAACATTTCATTATTCCTATTTAGTTACAGATGTCTAAATGTATAGATTAGTCTTACACGTTAGGAATTTGTGAACTATCTTGCCCATAATACCCACAATTACAAATACATTTCCTCATGCAAGATTTTATCGTCAGATTAACTGCATTACTGTAGTAAACTAAAGAACTGTTTGGACTCAAATGGATAGTTAATATGTTCTTCAATCTGAAGAGAGATACTGGAGAAAATCTAATCTCTCATGGAATCAAAGAAATTTTCAAAATTCCAAAAAAGTATCTACCGGTAATTTGCATAATGATACAGCTTGAGCACACAGACTAAAATTTAACAGAGGGATATGAATTCAAACATTCTAGGAGGGGTTACACTCCTCTTATAAAGATTTAATTTCATAGCTGGACGTACTGCTAAAGGCTTTAGTAATGGACAGGACTAGGATTGCTTCCTGAACTATTACTGTATTCTAAGTGGAATCATTTTTTTGCTTTTCTAGAATACTGTAGTCAGATAACTGACCAGAGACAAGGACGCAAATATTTAATAACCTGGTTTTACTAGAAGCCCAGGTTAGCTCCTCATTCCCAATTTTGACAGTGTTCTATTAAAAAATAAAGCGTGTTAATAGAATAGAATAGAATTAACATGCCAGTTAACCAGGTTTCTAAAATAGATTGAACTTGTAGCCACAATTTATTTATTTATTTATATGCTTTAAACTGATTTGTCTCTACATTTTCTCCTTATTATTTATTATTTTATCATAGAAAATAAAATTCAAAACAGGACAACAAACAAACAAAATGACATTCAAGTCTAACAACGTCAAAAAAGAAAAAAAGGTGTACAAAAATGGGGGAAAATATTTTTTTTAGCATTTAACATGTAAGATCTAAATGTCTCTAAATTGTAATTAGATATTGTAATTTCTTTAAATTTAGCCAGATGTGCATTCATTAGTGGAAAAGCAAGATATAAACTTAATAAATACATTTTTGCACATGGGCTGATCATTCATAAAACGTTCAATTAATTTTGTAGCCTTTCCCCCCCTTATTTAAAGTAAAGTAAAATTCTAATAATGTAAAAGAAGATAGGATAAAGGTTAAAATGATGCACAAACATATCACACTAAATGGCAACAGAAATTATTTTTGAACAGTTGTTTCTTTATTAAGATATTGATATTCCATCAATAGATAATTAAGATTCTGTCTTCTATCAACAGAATAACTCTGAAAGGTGCACATTTGATGATGCAGGGGAAAATTAGCAAAAAAAAAGAAAAAAAGATGAAATTTAAAAATAGGCTGGATCATGCTGAGAACTGCAGAGGAAAAAAATAAAGAAAAATACCACAAATTGATTCCCAAGAGAAAATGTATTGGCACTGATTCAGAATGCTGTTGATTTCTCTAGCTAAGCCCACTTCTCTTCTCCCTCCTGCTCACATGACCTACAAGACAGCATATGTGCTTCCCAATGTACTCTTACAAACATTCACACATAGTCACAACATCAGTGGGAAGCAGAAATGTTCACCCAAACACCTACACAGATGCAACAGTAACTATTAGAGTTTTTGATTACACAAAGAGAATACTAAAATCTCCAACGGCCACTTCTGGTAAATTGGTAAAACCTCCAATGTGTTCCGTACCTTGTTAAAATATTCACATTATATCAACACTAAATCTCAGCTCTTCTTAATAGGATTTTTTTTTAATAATAGAAATTATTTCATGACAATACATACTATTTCTAGCAATAGCAATAACATATATAAAAATACAGTAACATGGGTTCTATTCTCATTCATTTAGGCTAAAGTAACTTTTATAAAGACATTAATTATAACAAAAGGTCAAGTTAGTAAATACTAATACTATTACTGGAAGAATGGATAGTTTGGTAAGGATAGCTGTACTGACTTAGGCAAATGATTCGGTAATTTATGATATCTCTGTATTTTTCAAAATTAATAGTAGTATTATTCTTTTGTCTTGGTGAGCAACAAATCACAACAATGTGGATTTGCAAATGCTTGTTCTTTTTATAATCTTTATAAATATTCCAATTAATATTTTACATTTACAAAACAATGTTTAATATTTATGCTAAGATTATATTTATTAATCTTTCATTAATATTGACAACATAGCTAATATAAGTATATAATATAAGTGTGTTTGTGTGTTTGTGTGTGAGTGTGTGTGTGTGTGTGTGTGTGTGTGTGTGTGTGTGTGTATTCGTCGATTTTCACAGGTATAGGTATGCAGGTCTTGGTGTATTCAGA